CTTCGTACAGTGATTCCTTCGGGCAGGAAGAAGACGAGGAACTTAGTTATGGCCCGGGCATTGTGTCCAAACTTAAGAACCGGTACATGAGCCTTGCCATGAGAGAGAGCCGCGCCCGACCTTCTTTGCGGCGGTTCAGCTCCCTTGAGGACTTGTTAGACACTGAGCCCCGTGGGCCGTGGCAGGAGCGTGGCACCGCGGATGTCAAGGCCCGCGCAGTGCCAGAAACCGCTGCCACACAGAGACGGGATGTGATGAAAAGAGCCCGGTCTGTGGACTCACTGAGCAGTAGGCTAACCGAGGAGGTGGGTAGGGGCAGAAGCGCGGGTCTGCCCAAAAGCAAGTCAGCAACCAGTCGCCTGCAATCTAGTCTATGTGCATTGGGTAAGGATGACGTCATCATCATAGAGACGGCCAGACCTGTTGGCAAAGAGCAGAAGGCAGTGAACGGCGGTGCCCGGACGGTGGATGCGGGGGAGCCGCCTCCTCTCACCCGCAAGCTGTCCTCCTCCAGCCTGGCCGAGGACGAGGAGATGCCGCCTCCCGACACAGTGCGGCAGGTCAAGCGGATGTTCGAGCCCTTGGCAGGGCGCCCCTTGCGTGGTGCTGCCGCCCGCGTGGCCGCCCACAAGGCCCAGCAGGCCTCCAAGACCAATGGCATCAGCCCCGTGGCTAAGCCCGCCCTCAAAGCCAAGCCTTCGGTGGTGCCCCCAGGCAAGGTCTCCTCCCCGACCTCCCCCTCGCTGCCCGTCACGATCGAGGAGGCCAAGTCGTCCCTGCGGCAGGTGGGGCAGGTGAACCGGGCGTCCCCCAGGCCCACCCTCAGCGTGCGGGCCCCCGCTCAGAACGGAGACGCGGGCGAAGGGCAGAACGGCGTGCTGGAGAGAGCAGGTGTGGCCAGGGTGCGGCCCGGCCTGACCCCCGTCACCGCCTCGGTCACAGCTCCTCTGGTGAACGGCGAGCCCGGGCTTGCCCTCGCCCACACCCACGGCGAAAGTGGCAGTGCGCACGAGGGCGTGAAGAGGGTATCCCAAACAGCTGTGTCCAACATCAGAAAGGAGAGCCACTCTCAGGAATTCAACTTCACGGCTGCCACTCGACCTGCTGGCAACTCGCAGTCAGGGCTGCAGGCGGCCAGGCCCTCCTCCCCCACGCCCACGCCCCTGCCCGCCTCGCCCGTGGCCTCGCACAGAGTGCCCACCCACTCAGCCTTCAGTAGTAAGGCAGACAGGGCACAGGAGAGTGATCGCGTCCTACAGGAGAACCTCAAGAACGTGGAAAAGTCGCGGCCGCAGAGACAGCAACAGACTGCCAAAGTGGAACCTCCTGTGAGGTTAGAGTCTAAGGTTGAACCCTTGAAAGAAACCAAAGTCGAACCTGTGAAACCTACCCCTACTAAAGTAGATCCTGTGAAACCTACTCCTACGAAAGTGGATCCCGTAAAATCTACCCCAACGAAAGTGGATCCCGTGAAATCCGCTCCCGAAGTGGAGCAGCCCCCCAAGTGGTCCCCTAAAAAAGTGGCCCCCCCAAAAAGCGAATACCCCCAGTCCCCAGTGCTCAGCAAGCCCTCTCCCGCCGACGAGCTGGTGCGTTCCTCGGGCAAGGGGTCGCTGGTGGAGGCCGTGAATACCTCCAACAAGCAGGCCTCCACCAACGGCGCGGGCGGCCTCTCCACGCCTCCCCTCAAGACGGCCGGACTCAGGGACAGGTGGCACCAGCAGGAGAACAACACCATCGTCTTCAACTTCACCTCCAGTAAGAAAACCACTCCGGACTACATCGAGAACGATGGCATCGACCTGTCCAAACGGAGACCTGAGGTGAGTCCGAAGAGTTTTTGAGTTCACCCCTATCAGGCTCCTCCCCCTCACCTCCCCCTAAATTTGCAGCTAAGCTCTTCGTCGCAACTTTCACGTCGGGTCGATGTTGCTTCACCTTGCGGCAGCTGTACCCACATGCAAGCACTCCTTGGCCTTGTTTCAGTATTGTTCTAGGGTCTATGGAACTGCTATTGTACTTTAATGCCAGCATATCAAGTAACTCTTTAAGTAAACTCTCTTTATTGCACTTTAATGCCAGCATATCAATTAACTCTTAAGTAAACTCTCTTTATACTTTAATTTTCTGTCTGTGGGTTTCCAAGATGAGACACAACAACCTGGGATTGTTGTTCTCTGTAAAATTTTACGAGCTTGCTTGTCTTACAAATCCATCACGAGAATCAAAGGAGTTGTCTCTTGATCGTCGTGTCATGATCAATTGAGGCTATACGGGCGCTCTGTCATGCACAGATCTGATGCGTTATCCGTGACAGAATCCGGGAATCTGGAGTATTGTATTATTTTGTGCTCTGGGTCACGCTCGGCTTTTTAGTGGCGATGTTGTATTTTCTCTTTAGTAGGCAGGGGTCTGAACTTTGAGGCTGGATTCTCGCCGCGCCAGAGAACGGAATTAAGATTTGTAGACGTGACTTTTGTGTTTAGTTGCTGTGCTGGCT